ATGGAGAGCTGCAAAGTCTTTTGCTCTTCCCACTGGGATCGAAGGAAAGGAGTTGTGAATCCCCTGTCACTCTCCGAATCTTTAAGAAGATCCATCAGAAGCACCTCCTCATGGAGAATGGTGGCCAGTTTGGACCTTGCCAATGAAGCAAGATGGTCTTGGCCACGGATCGCAATCTTCTTGATTTTGTGGTCAATAGTTGTGATTCGTTTAGCTGGCTATAGTTTGGGGAGAACCTTGGATAAGATAGGGTTGTCGAACAAACAGTGTTTGGCCTGGTGAGACTCACACTCATTATGTGTTCAGGTGCTATTGTATCAACAATTAAGGACCATAGCCGCTCATTTCCTTCCCCATTTGACTTTCCTTCCCCATTTCGTTTCCAGGGGTGAAATGCGATTTGACAACAGAATTGATGTGCATAGGCATGGAAGACTGAAACGGCGATGCTCAATCTAGAAGCGATTTCGGGAATGAGATTGTACTTTGTTTGTATATCAAGAGGTTGTACCTGAATGCTACGCAAAGTCATACCTTGGCAATTGATCGATCAAGAACACATCCAACATCATACATTAATCCAATGGTGGTGTTTGAGGGTAGTTGGCGGTTGAGTGCAAGGAGCATGGCAATTGAAAAGTGCTGCTGTTCATCTGGAGTGCGTACATCGCAGAGGAAAAGGGGGATATCATGATGGCATACAGTTGCCATCAGACCCTTCGAACGGAATGTATCCGTTTTCGAGGCAGTCCGTTTTCCATGTTTTGTGGCTCTGTGTGATTCTTCACATTCATCAATAGCACCATCCAGTACAAGGGATGAGGGATGAGATTCTTCCAAACAACCTCTAGATGCAGCTCATACATCAGAGACATGGAGGGCAGCTTCCTCAATTTCGGCATCGGTGAGGAATGTACAGGTTTCATTCCAGGGAAGGACCATGTCTCCTCCAACGAACATGTACTGCCTATGTTGCATATTACCATCCATAGCGACAATGACATCAGGACATCTAGGGAAACACTTAGTATACCTGTTCTTGGAGGACATCCATGAGAAGACTAACTCATTGGCTGAACTACCCCATATCAAACCTCCAAAACATTTGGGGGCATCTCGCATGGAGGTATGGGCTGGCGGTGGTGTCGGATGGGTTGTGAATGAGCCTTGCTTGCTCAGGGACCATCGACGGAAGGTCCTGTGACGTCTTTGTGAAGGTTGGGATGCTGTGGTCAACAGATACCATGCCATGGGACGTAGCGACCGAAGGATCTCCATTGTGAGCAGGAATGGCATGGATGGACCCGGCAGACTCGGCCAGCGTGGAATGCCATAGCAGTGCATCGGGCACTGCAGGGGATGAGGGATGGAAGAATTCTCTCTCCGTTTCAACGTCTACTAAATCATGTAAGGCCTGGAACCAAGTGATTGCCTCACTAAACAACTGGAGAAAAGGGTCCTATATGAACGCCAGATCATGAATGTTCCTGACAAATAACAAATGAATCTCACGTTGTGGGTGAACTCGTAGCCATTCTCTTGTAACATGGAAAACAAAGCGGCATGAAAGGAGGCAGCCGGGGTATATGAGTCCACATGTAAGGCTGAATACAGCGAAAGGACGTCAAAATGGAAGGCAACTTGAGGCATTACAGGTGACCCCGGAAAGTAGCCAGACTGGATGATGCTAAGCGGGAGAGTATTAGACAGACATTCACAATATTTGAACGTCCACCGCATGGCACCTGGCCCGGGGTCATTGGGTCATTGTTTGTTGAGCAAGATCAGAACGGAAACGTACCTGAGAACGCGATCATCATGAGCGAATGAAACTGGGGAGACGCATTGCAGTGAGAGCACAGCGATACTGCCGGTGTTTGTAGTTTTCCATTTCTGTCAAATGACGTCTCGCTGGGGGTGGAAAGGGGTATGCATCCTGCCTTCTTTGCCTCTACTTCTAGATAGATTTCCAGTGCGTTGTGTATTATATCGCGGCGCCAATGGAGCCATGCAGCTTGCTTTTGCGGATTTCGTAATGCTCTCTTGGCCCGTTTTTGGGAAGCTGACTGCGAAGGTGTAGGGGGCAAGGCGGAGTCTGGGTTTGAAAGAGCGGGTTCTGCAATACCTTCCAGCCAACCTTGAGGTGATGCCTCCCATTTTGGTGATTCCTTTTTTAGAGCCGGCATTGAAGGGGGAGTCAAAACATTGCTGGCATCTGTTGATATTGCATTTCCTACATGATCGTGGCGATTTGGCACTGGCCACCAATCTCTAGATGCGATTCCAGGCCCCAGCGTTGGGTCATCACGGTGCTGCTGGCGTTTGCTATCTCGACGCGTCACGATGGCTGGGGAATGGGGACTTCAGCGGTTGGAACGCGCTCCTGTCCTTTCTTTTTGGACGTTGAGGGTTTGGATTCAGGTGCAGACTGGCCACCAAGGAGATCCACATATTTTTTGGGTTTGCTTAAATTATACGGGTGATACTTTTTTTACAGGAGAGGTAGTAAGGCGAGGAATTACAGGCTTATGCCTCGGCATGGTATGTAGCCGTTAAGAGATAGGGTGAACGGAAAAGAACAGGACAGGCTCTTCTCAACAAGTATGCAGCGGTTGCGCGGCTAGTCTAATTTATACTCAGTCAGCTGCACATTCAGTCAGTGTGTGTAGCTGTGGCGCATACCAATAGGCAAACAGGGCAATTGGTGGGCAGTGGAGCAGTGGTATGGCGCTGGAACTATCAAATATGCAGTGGGGCACACGTTGGTCGGATGGGAGCCCCAATCGAATTGTACCGTTTCTCTCAGCACTTGGGCGCCGGATGGGGTGCGCGCAGTATCCAGATGAAATGCGAATACGGGCTCGCTAAGACGGACTGGATAAAGGGTGGCGCGCAACACGGGGTAGAGGGTGGTGAGGAATTTAACAAGATTGTTAGCCCTCAATGACGGGGAGAGAGGGGCGTAGCGTTGGAACTACTCTTATAAAGGTATTTGCTACGGGGTATGGAGTACACGGGGTAGGCCGGTGGCGAGCGCACGGTGTTCTTGTCTAATTGCACCGCCGTTTCTCAAGTCGCTCAAGCACAGGGTTTCGGGCGCGTGGTGCACAAGTGGCGAATGTGAATACGAGTCCACTAACACGGATTGATGGCACAATTGGTGGGTGCAGAAGGTCGAGGGTGGCAGAAGGGTAAGGTTGAGGTTTGTGTCTGATCGCACCGTTTGGCACATCGTGTAAGCGCCGCCGGCGTGCGAGTGATGTCCAGAAAGCCAAACCTGAGTACAAGACCACGAATAAGGATTGGACGAATCGACAGTACACAATCCGGGGCAGGGACAATGTCCACCGAGTGGGATTGTTAGTGCCGTTTGATGTTAAAAGACGATGCGCAAAACGTTTGCTGCGGTGCCAGGAATGCCTAACCACAGGCAGTGAGACTTGCGGGCCCGTACACGAGTAACGCTGAACTAGAAGTTTGGATATCGGCGCGTGATGTAATGCACCGTTTGGGTAGAAGAGCTGATTGGGGGGGGTATGAATGTCGAGTGTACTACGCAGGATTAGAATGGGAGGTTGGCATTGCAGGGGGTGGGCAAGATGACCAAGATGACCGTGAGTGCCAGCGGTGTTGAATACAACCTCTGGCCCTCGTCAGTCAAATATCTTCACGGTAACCGTGATTCACTAGCGATGCGCGAAGCACCTCTAGTCGTCTGCGGTTAAAGATGAAGAGAAGAGCCCTCAATGATATCTAGAAAGTTTTTGTTAGCTGCAACGCCGAGAGCAAACAGGGAGAACACTAACCGGAAATGGAGTTTTCTATGAGCGCAGAGATGGCCGACAGGGCTGGAAAGGATTGTGCGTGGCAACCCTGAGCTGTGGAATGGAGTACAACGTTTACATGGCACGATGTCAAAGCTGGGTGGGATCGATAGATTTTGGGCACTTACGGGACGCGTGGACGTAGAGCCGCGATCAGAGGTTCAACTCGTACCTATATGGCTGTAGTAATATAAAGGATTGTGTGTGGCAACCTTGAGCTGTGGAACGGTGGATGGTAAAGCTGGGTGGGATCGACAGATTTTGTGGGCGCTTACCAGGACGTGTGGACGTAGAGCCGCAATCAGGGGTTGAAGTCGTATCTATAGTGTAACATATGTTATACTGGCGTTAATTGACGCGCACATCACCTACAACGGCGCTAACGAGTGTGATGGAGCAGGTGCCTCGGCTTTGGCCGGACGGCCGTTTGGAGGGACATGCATACCCCACGATTGTATTGGTTCCCACAGGGATGGGTGTGGTCAAAACGGGTCAATATGTAGTGTTCTCTTGTTCGAGATATCCTTTTATTTACTTTATTCCTTGTATGCGAGTTCTGACTGTATTTACAGACCGCGCATATAGGTAAAGGATCAATAAATCAGTTCTCTTGTTCGAGACTGAGACCGCGCATATAGTGCTTATTTACATTATGAGTGTGGGATGCAAGCCGCAATGGGAGTGAACAACTGAGCCCCCGGTCGCACGCTAGTGCCTTCCGGCACTATCTGTGCTGCCCTCCAAACACAACTGTAATGGGAAAAGAGGACCTTAGGTTACAGAGGACCCCGTGCACAGCGTGGGGCCTAAATTTACAGGATCCGCTATGGAGTAGTGGAAATAATATGCTAGAACTGGACATGTGAACACTGTTAAGTCCGTCGGGGTTACGGCTTAACCGTAACACAAACAAATACACATGTTGGTCTTCTCAAAACCACATTTTCAAAGTCAGCAAACTCGAGTTAATTCTCTGGGTCTCATCTGGTTATCGGAATGATAGTCGTTGGTTCCGGTGTTCAGGGCAGTGCGGTGCCGCAAAATTGGAGGCAAATCATTGCTGTTTTGGCGCCTGTAGTCCCATCTTGCAATCGTGATGCTTCCGATATCTAATTTGTTTGAATTCAATCACATACATGCGGCATTTCCTCTCACCACTGTCTCTCAGCCTCCACTATGACCACCTTATACCACTTGGTTCACGAGCATCCACCCAATTCATTCAAATATCTGAAATCTGTTCGAGATGATCCTATCGCACAAGATCATAAACAAACCGCTATCCGCCTCATCAAATCGCAACCCAAGTTTCAACAGTTCGAGATAGAAGCTGATATTTATTTGGTGAGGTGACCGTGTGGTGCCTGGTTTGCCTAGTGTTTCATCTCGAGCTCTGTAGTGTTTGGAACCAATGGGGCAAGGGGTGGAGCGGCGACGGATGTTGGAAGATGCTGCCAAAAACCCCTCGGACTCAGACAAGGTTCAAGACTTTTCAGGGCAGGGGATGCAACAAGAGCTCATGGTGGTTTTCAGTAAGTTGCTCAGGCCGCCGGTGAACAGAAGTCTGGAGCTGTCATTATAGGCGCTAGTTTGAGTTTGCACTATAAGGTTTTCGAGGAACTCAGATCCTCCTACAAAAGCTTCCTCGGGTCGGAAGTGGTGGCATACCCAGGGGATTCGCCGAAAGTGGTTTACGATCATGCCAGGTCCGTTGTCAACTCTCTATTAATGCGCAGTGCCGGAAGCTGTGAGAATCTTGCTTTGTACCAGGTATGTATTGTTCAAACCCTACTGGATTTTCCATGACTGTTTTGCAGCTACCTGATGAGGACTACGCTCAGGCGCTGGTGACTGGGCAGCTGGGGAAGCATCAGATACAACAGCATAGGACTATTGCCTGTCCCCTTGAACAAAACCTGCGAACAATAGGAACCTCAAACCTCATATTCGTATTCAGTCCGTTTAATCTCTGGTTTGCCTTTGTGAACTGTATTGAAATAATCATAGCTGCGAAGCGCCCCCTCCAAATTCCGTACGCCTTGTTCGATGGACGATCCAATCCCTATCAGTTTGTTCATGGTGGTAGCATTGAGGCAACTTCTGAAGACCCCGTAAAGCTTCTCCATGAGGAATTCCGCCGATTGATGAAGCCTAAAATCCCGCTGGAGACTGATGATTATCGTATTCATGTTTACGAGGTGTGACAGCTATTTCCCACCTGGCTTGACTGCTAACACCCTGCAGCCGAGAGAAGCGTTACAACTAAGCATCTTGAAGGATCTAAAATTGGACGACGACTCATTTGTAGACGAAAGCTATCAATTTTTCAACCCAGGGGAGAAATTGTCGAAGTGGGAACACCGAACGCTCTTAGTCGTTTTCCGTGAGTGTGCCTTGATTGTTCAATTGGTCACATCACGAATGTATTATTCCCAGAGCCAGAGATCCTAACCCAGTCCGAGTCTGGTCTGACTAGCCTCGTGACTGGTTTTCATCGCATGCGTCTAATAAAAGAGCTGTTGCCAAAATCGATTCCTACCGTAGTATTCAACGCGACACTGAACAAAGGATCTTGGATGATTGCCCTGGAAAGGACAAACTGATGGCGCCTATTTCTCTCCTATACCAGCCATTTGGTTACTTTCGTGACATTCGCTGTGGACTGGAGGTCCCTGGAGAGAAGGATTTCCCTGAAGATAAACTGAAGGAAGACGTCAATGCACTCGCAAATGAAATGACCAAGTTTTTCAACAAGGAAGACCAACGACGTTCCAAGTTCATGAGGTGTCTGGAGCCTATTTTAAAAGTTCCTCCCAACTCTATCAAGGCCAGCATGTTACCCAGCAGCCGAAAGATATCAGATGGCCACCTAGACGGAGAGCACGGGGCCATGGTAATATGTATAGAGTGCAAGAACGAATTGTCGTCTGCATCTTGTGAGCCCAACCCTCAGCTTGCCTCCTATATCGCCACTTCATTCGCGAAGCAAGCCGAAGACCAACCAGAGCTCTTCCAGAGGTGGAGGGTGCCTGCCTTGGGAGTGACACTTGTTGGTGAGTTTACTTGTATCCCTCGTGAGTTCTTCCTTATTGAGACGCGCAGGACCTGCCATCCAGTTTTTCGGGGTCATCTGGATAGGGCAAGTGCGTGTCGTACCCTTGACACCATCGCTTCCTATGATAGACCCAACTGGTGAAGAGTTCCGATGGGACCTCCTCCTAGCGTTTAAGGCTGCTGCTCTCGTTTCCTCGAAGATCAAATCCGACATCAAAGACTTCCTCCGAGTGCTCAAAAGCTCCCCTGACTCGTGGCCCTGCCCATTGACCATCAAAACGAGTCGCCACCCAAGTGTGACTGAAATTGACATTTTCCCCAAACGGGGATCGGAGAAAATACAGTTCATCCTCGAGTCACGATTCGATGACTTTGAACACCGGCACCTTTACCACGCTACTCTAGTTTCATCAAACCCATCGAAAATATTTGTCAAGTTTTCGCAACTCTACTCTAAAGACCTGCACGCTTTCTGTGCATTAAAGGGGCTTGCCCCCCGGATATTTGGGTTCCAACAATTACACGGGGGATGGTATGCAGTGGCGATGGAAAGTATCGATGTCAAGGATCACGAGCACATCAAGCCCTCCCCTCAACGTGCTCAGGAGTGGAAGGAGAATATTTGCAACCTGGTCAATGCCTTCCATGGTGAAAACTTGGTCCATGGCGATCTGCGTCTCGCAAACTTTGTCTTTACCAACGAGAGAATGTTGCTAGTTGACTTCGATTGGGGGGGGGAGGAGGGTAAGGCGAAGTTCCCTCATGAGCTGCTCATCGGAGAATTGGGGGTATCAAATCAGAAGCTACGTGACCGGCTAATCACAAAAAAGCATGACCAAGAATGTCTTTCCGAGGTGCTTAAGTGGGTGGACAGGATGTCGTCGGGCCAGTGATGGAGATGTGATCGGTTTCGTTTCAATGGTTGCAACCTTTTTGGTTTCGACTGCCAGGTTGAACATTGAGCCTCCAGTCAAACCACATGGGCCTGTTCATTTGTATCTCCTACCTGCAGGGATTCTTGCATGTTTCACTTCTTTTCTTCACACGTTATTCTGTATGACACAGGCTGTACTGACCATGTGTGTAACAATAACTGCTTTTAGTTTAAGTTGACCATTCTAAAGTTGTATGTTGGAAATGCGAGTCACCGGAGATATCCGGGGCGCATGTGGAGGATGTGGAGGATTTCACTAAGCGCGCAGCTACACAGGAGTTGCCTTACGTAGATTTCTCTCTTTATTCATTCCTTTGTATATATATACGCACGGACATTATCCCCAAATCATTACTCGCTTCTATCTTGCATCTGTGCTACGAGTGAGCCGCCGTTTACAACTGCCCATACCTATAGGCTGGGACACTAGAAACTCATGGGGCATCCAAAAGTGTCTCCAGGGCCCAATTGGGAAGCAGCTCGTGATGTGAGATGTTGGAAAACAGCGCGCTACGTACGAGTTTTCGTACAGCCACATTCCCACGCCCAAGCTCGCTTCTAAGTCACCAACGTAGGTAGCCGTTCCTCGGTCATTGAATTGGTGTCCCTCATCAGCTCGACGTGGCCAACGCACTCGGCACCTTCTTCGTCACGCATGTTTGGGATTATCAACCAAATGGTCGGCTTTAACATCGAATTATCGTGACCGCTCGGCACACCTAAGCCAAACCCTCTTCATCTTCATTGCTCCCTCCGGCATCAACCCCAAGTGCACAACATTCACCAAAGTTCCAGGGAAATTTTGACGGGCTGTTGCGATCTTCATCGAAATTGCATTCCGATGTACTGCGTCGTGCTCAATTTCGGTATCGATTCGGAAAACTTTTGAGGGTGAATTCTGGTTGGGTTGACGGTGTTTGGCATTGCCTACTTCTTTCTTCTCCCTTTTCGCCGTGCTGATGCTCCTCAATATCTTTAGAGCCTATTCCTACTCCCCCTGGCACTCCCGCCACCCACTTTTAGCTGTCGGCACATTGCGCCACGACCTCCGGAGCTAAAGCAGAAATCGATCCCGCATACATCATCGAATTCAGTCGCCTCGTCCCGAACCTTCTCATCCGGGACTCCCTTTCCCCTTTTCTCCAGGACTGTACATCTCACACTCATCATGGAGTCAGCCTCTAGCTTGCTCGATTCTGGGTTGTTTGGGGGACTTGCTGGGCGATTCCCCACCAACTTTTGCAAATCGATTGACGATGGGTGGAGAGCGGATTAATGGGTTGCTGCAGGGTCAATTTCAGCGGGGTTTGAAGGCAGATATAGGAATGGGGGTTGAATTGGTGGTTTTTGGTGCGCATGTCTTGTTTTCCCATTCGGAGTCCCTGCAAACGTCTTTCTCATCCGTTCTCCTTTTCTCCATCTTCCATGCTTTCCAATGCTGACTGACTACTCAACCGCGCGAGAGCAATGGCTGGGGGGCCTGAGCGGCGGTAGATCTTCTCCGTCATTATACTTGGCTATGTAGTTGCTTTCCAAGTTGGACACTATGGGCTCTAATTGGAGACTGGAAGAAAGCCTGGCTTGATTGATGCACCCACGTTGGAATCGCAATTGTGTGTCGTCCCTCAGATGAAACTTCTAGGATATGTCTTCGAAGGTGGTTGCTTCACACCCCGAACTACGCGTTTCAATCGTCATCTGGGGCGCACCGGCCCAGTAGCCTTCGGAGCTGGTCTGATTCCTCTCAACTCGGGCGCCAGGAGGCTCTGGTCCTGTCTCTTGCAATTCCGAACTCGCAAGTTTGCACATCCCTTCCGTCTATCCCTGGTACCTTACTTAATTTATCGACATCATTTTGCTGAACCGACGCGTTCCCCAGTCTATCTCTGCTAAATCACGTTCAGAGTGTCACCACTTGTTCTGATCAGTGGATGCCCTCACACCCCTTCATATCCGGCTCCTGCCACACACAACGGAATGGGATCCGCAAATACGGCGCCGTTGGCACCTCCTGACGTTCCATGGCACTTCACACTGGTTTCATCACGCTTCCGTTCAAGGACAACAAAACACCAATAGAGGATCACCTGCATGCGCACGCTTACCTTGGGATGACAAATCTTGCCGGATGGTAGAGAGCCACGGCAGCTCGCTTGCGTGGTACTCAGTTCAAATTGCAGAAATACGGTACGGCCCTGTTTTCTGCTCTCCGACAATTTGACTTTAAATTGTTGGCCCAGGGAGTCGACCTCAAATAATCGTATCAGGACTACCGGTCTCGTCCCTGGCGCTATGGTTGTTGGTGGGAACGCAGACGGCTCGGTGGCGGCTTATAGCGGTTTACCGCTCCAAGCCAACAAGACAGCACACATGAGTCCCCTTCTAACACCGAACCAACCCCAAGTGATCGTCACTCCCGAACCTCGCAGTCTTTCATTATCAGTCCAACAATACTCCGGAACCTGGAAACACCTAAGGCCGCAGGTTTCGGGCATGACCGTTCGGAACGGCGGGATGCGCAAACGCACCCATTGAGTGCTCTCAGTGGCCCGGCCCCCGCATTGACGCAACGTTCATGACCCAATCGTCGTGTTGATTTTCCGCTTGTATGTTTATTTGCTTCAAGTTAAGATGTTACGGCAGAGTAAACTCGTCTCTGACCGGTTGCTACGTGGTGAATGCGACAATGGGGGTGGCAATGTTGCGCCGCGATGTACCGAAATTCTGAGGTAGGAGATTTGCTTTATAGAGGGCTGAGCATGGGATTTACTGTCTGAACATTTCTCCAAACGAGGTGTGTTTCCTATGTGCGTTGGTACCTTGTTTATGCTATAAACTGCGGTACGTCGTTTATTAGAAGGACGACGTACCGCGCACGGGTTCTGCTGGTATTCATAGTCAAGGAAAAATAGAGGGGTCGGCCGAGTCGGTAGGCGTCGACTGAAATCGCGATTTCAGCGTCGGGGTGTCATGCTTGAGGCGGGCCGGCAACGGGTGCTTGGAGCGTGTGTTATCGGTTCTCAACAGTTTATCACTTATTTACCGATATCTCTTCGACATCTCCAAGGTCTGAATAACCACCGATTGCTGACATGCCGTAGTAGCAAAATCCTTGTACCTTTTGCGCTTGGCTCAGGCTCGAGAACTAAGACCAGTTTGAGCTCGGGTGGGAACTCAACGAAACCTTATCCCTTTCAGCCCCGACATGGACTTCGCGCCGTCGCATCGACGAAGTCCTTGCAATTAAATGGCCTAACCACGCTAGAGTGGAACCCGGGAGGCCTCAGCACTTTGTGCTCATGTTTGTCACGATCCTGCTCTTTACTTGACATTCTACTAGGTTCTGGCTCGCGTTCGGCATCAAAGACACTCACATCGCTGCAAACAACTTGAAAAGCCTTTGGCTTTTCAAGCAGGAGGGTATCGCTGGCAAACTCGATTGTTTGTATGCACTCGGTCTCCAGAGCCTCCAAGGAAATGATTTGTGTTAAAAACTTTGTTGGGGGCAGAGCTGAAGGGCCGTCATCGGACTCAGGTGTGATAGGCAGCGTCCTGACACGCGTAGACCTCTTGCCCCCTCAATTGGACTCGGAATTGTGGCTTACAGTCTTATCTGGGTCAAATCCTCATGCTTGTCACCTCATTCGGGCGTCAAATGTGGCATCTTGCCTACGCCAAGCTCATGTGATTCTGACGTGCCTGGTGCAATGCTATCCAGTGCAGGTTCTCGATCAGGACTCATGAATGTCTGGACATCTGACTTGTCAATTGTGCGGAAAGGGATCCGATGCGCTAATGCTTCGGACCCTGCTCGAGGTGTTCAACCCGCCATCGGGATCAATTTCGCAGACGGGGTGGTTCTGTTGCTCGACTTGTAGCCTCATTGTGATCTTCATGTAAACGGCATGTTTCCACTTCTACTGTTTGACAAGGACTCATCGCTTGGGCACAGTTCTGGCATCATGACTCAATGGACTGTTAAGATGCTCTAAAGATCCTTGCTTGCCTCAGCGTCTGATTCGCACCCAACATCTACCAGCTCCGCACGACTTCGATCTTGCGCACAACTTGGCATCCGGAACGTCGTGTGCACCTATTCTGAGGCTCGTTACTAACATCCTTCGTCTCGGTGTCTCTCGGGTTTGGAACTAACAATCTCATCGCGAAGCAGGCATGATGCCTTCTGATTTGTTCACACTTGTCGTTGGTAAAAGTCATGTCCTTCCGACGATTCTTGGTGGAGGCACATGTCTACCACCTCGGAGATCTCATGCATCTTTGCGGTCACCCGTAGCTGATCGTCTGGCTTCAAAACTTGTCGTACAATGTCGCAGGAAGGTCTTGAGTCCTTATCCGTTTGAAATTCGGCTATTTCTCTTCCTCAAATGGCATGCTCACGCTTGAATCGCAAGTGTCCATAGTGGGGTCTGAACTCTTGGCTATGCACTTCAGGATGCACCTCTGGTGGCAATTTGTCGACAGCCTCACCGTCCGAATGGCCGCCAATCATGGTCATTCCGTTGTACGAAAAACTCCGTCCCGGACCCCTTGTGAAGGATTCATTATACATGCTGCGAAACAAGCGATGCGCGACCCGGGGGAGCAGGAGGTGATTGGGGAGGTGGTGGGTGAGCGAGAAGGCTTTGAATGCTGGGGGAGGCAAGGGAGGTGTGTTGGAAGCAAGAGCAGCGATTCCAGTCGGAGGCAGTCGAAGCCTTCTTACTTACTGAGGAAGAATGGGCTAGGCAGCGGCAGCGGAAACGGGGGGTATGGATAAGGGATCTTTTTAAGCGTGCAAGAGCTCCTGTTACCATTTAGGTTTGGATTGTACCATATTACTGTTCTGTTCCGCGCATCCATGCCAGAAAGTTCAGTGTACAGTCCGGAGCTGGCTAAGGTCCGCGCAGACAGCGGAAGATTTCGAGGCATCATCTACCGCATGGCTAAGATGGGCGACACCTAGGCAAAGCGGCATTGAGTTGGTGCCAGTCAGATATCTTACAATTGTTACAAGCGAGGTAAGGGCCAACGTCCTTTTATTCCGCATATGGGACAAAGATCATTTTGGTAGGGGCTCCGAAACGTCCAGAGTCGTGTTCCATGAAGTCAGATCTAGAGGATGGAATGTGCTATCGGTCTGACGCACTCAGGGATTACATATGGGACATTGTCCCACTCGTGGCAGGGAGCATATTGTATGTCATGGACAAGGTACTAAGTGTTGGAGAACAGCGCGCAAGTGCAGCAGGGCGAGTTTGTACAGCCACATTCCCACGGCCGAGCGAAACTCGTCCGGCTGGCCACCTAATATTTTTCACTTTTGTATTCATTTTGGACTACTCCGTTCCCAAACTACGTGGGAATTCCCGTTCATTCAATTCCTTTTTCCCTCAGTTCTCTTTCGCATATTTGCTTGAGACTGAGTTGCCACGCTTTACTAGCAATTCAATCTGCGCTCACTAAGTGAGTCAGAGTCGGAGTCTAGGGGTACCGTGGTTCGGTTCGGTTCGGTTCAGAGGCGAACTTGAACCCGAACTGGTTCGAAGAAAGGATGGGAAGGCTGAACCTGAACTGAACCGTTGGCAAACCCAGGTTCAGTTAAGAGGGGGCCTAGGGTTCCAGGGTTTGAAAAATCCCTAGGGCAGGATCCCTAGCCCTAACCTGGGTCATCCTGCCCTAGGGTCAAAAAATTCCTAGGGACCAGGTTCAGCTTGCCCTAGCGCTAGGGCATCAAGCAGTAGGGCACTCTAGCAAGTTTTACTTTGGCTTGCACATTTTTGTACCCCCTGGAGGAACAGAGTATGCATCACCGGTTGGGTCACAAAAATATTGTGACACAAGTTGTCACAGATGCACTTCTGTTCCCCTTGGAGGAACAGAGTATGCATCACTGCTTGTGTCACAATATTGTAACAAAATATTGTCACAGAGGCATTCTGTTCCCCCTAGAGGAACAGAGTATGCATCACCGGTTTGGTCACAAAAATTGTGACACAAGTTGTCACTGCATTTCTGTTCCCCTTTGGAGGAACAGAGCATACATCACCGCTTGTGTCACAAAAATTGTGACAAAAAGTCGTCACAGATGCACTTCTGTTCCCCCTAGAGGAACAGAGTGTGCACCACCGCTTGTGTCACAATATTGTAACAAAATGTTGTCACAGATGCACTTCTGTTCCCCCTGGAGGAACAGAGTATGCATCACCGCTTGTGTCACAATATTGTAACAAAATATTGTCACAGAGGCATTCTGTTCCCCCTAGAGGATATGCATCACCGGTTTGGTCACAAAAATTGTGACACAAGCCGTCACTGCATTTTCTGTTCCCCCTGGAGGAACAGAGTACGCATCACCGGTTTGGTCACAAAAATTGTGACACAAGTTGTCACAGATGCACTTCTGTTCCCCTTGGAGGAACAGAGTATGCATCACCGTTTGTGTCACAATATTGTAACAAAATGTTGTCACAGAGGCGTTCTGTTCCCCCTAGAGGAACAGAGTATGCATCACCGGTTGAGTCACAAAAATTGTGACACAAGTTGTCACTGCATTTTCTGTTCCCCCTGGAGGAACAGAGTGTGCATCACCGCTTGTTGTGTCACAAAAATTGTGACTCAAGTTGTCACTGTATTTCTGTTCCTCCTGGAGGTGCAACACTCCTTCTATTGCAATAGGCTTTCCTCAAGATGACGAACGCATAGTGGAAATTTTTGAATGGGCATGCATCACCACTTGTGTCACAATATTGTAACAAAATATTGTCACAGAGGCATTCTGTTCCCCTTGGAGGAACAGAGTATGCATCACCGCTTGTGTCACAATATTGTAACAAAATATTGTCACAGAGGCATTCTGTTCCCCCTAGAGGAACAGAGTATGCATCACCGGTTGGGTCACAAAAATTGTGACACAAGTTGTCACTGCATTTCTGTTCCCCTTTGGAGGAACAGAGTATACATCACCGCTTGTGTCACAAAAATTGTGACAAAAAGTCGTCACAGATGCACTTCTGTTCCCCCTAGAGGAACAGAGTGTGCACCACCGCTTGTGTCACAATATTGTAACAAAATGTTGTCACAGAGGCATTCTGTTCCCCCTAGAGGAACAGAGTGTGCATCACCGCTTGTGTCACAATATTGTAACAAAACATTGTCACAGAGGCATTCTGTTCCCCCTGGAGGAACAGAGTATGCATCACCGGTTGAGTCACAAAAATTGTGACATGAGTTGTCACTGCCTTTTCTGTTCCCCCTGGAGGAACAGAGTGTGCACCACCGCTTGTGTCACAATATTGTAACAAAATGTTGTCACAGAGGCATTCTGTTCCCCCTAGAGGAACAGAGTATGCATCACCGCTTGTGTCACAATATTGTAACAAAATATTGTCACAGAGGCATTCTGTTCCCCCTAGAGGAACAGAGTATGCATCACCGGTTGAGTCACAAAAATTGTGACACAAGTTGTCACTGCATTTTCTGTTCCCCCTGGAGGAACAGAGTACTCATCACCGGTTCGGTCACAAACATTGTGACACAAGTTGTCACAGATGCACTTCTGTTCCCCTTGGAGGAACAGAGTATGCATCACCGCTTGTGTCACAAAATTATTGTGACAGAACTTTGTCACACTTTTCTGTTCCCCCAGAGTGTGCATCACCGCTTTGTGTCACAATATTGTAACAAAATATTGTCACAGAGGCATTCTGTTCCCCCTAGAGGAACAGAGTATGCATCACCGGTTGAGTCACAAAAATTGTGACATGAGTTGTCACTGCATTTTCTGTTCCCCCTGGAGGAACAGAGTGTGCATCACCGCTTGTTGTGTCACAAAAATTGTGACTCAAGTTGTCACTGTATTTCTGTTCCTCCTGGAGGTGCCGACACTCTTTCTATTGCAATAGGCTTTCCTCAAGCTGACGAAAGCACACAGATCCCTTTAGAGGCGCTTATTTTTACATGTGAAACCATGCTGTTGTTTCCATTTGAGTTTTAATTCTACTGCGCATATCGACGATTTACATCACTGAACACAAGAAGTAAAAGGATCCAAGCATCTGGAGTCCCAGAGTCAAATACAAGAAGATCGTTGCCGCTTGAGACTGGAGTCAAGATAAAAAACTGCTGATTCAAGAAAGAAAGAAGTCCGCATGGTGTTGAATGCCATGTGACCTCAGAACTTTCCCACGGGATCTTGTCGCGCTCAATCACCCAACCATCCAACCATCCAACCATCAACACCCACCTCACCCCACCATCGTCAACTGGCTCTATACCAAGGCTTTTGCCGTGCGCGCAACTTGGTACTGGAGAACGTGATCGGCTTCGCGTTCGAAAATGAATGGATTCTCGTCACTAAGGTCTCCCGGCCTTAGCTCTTCTAGCTTGTGCTCAGCGCTGTCGTGTACTGGACTTGTCTCTGGGGCATCATGCGAGTGCACGGGCTCTGGACCGTCATCAAAAGCGGGAACTCCAAGCTGGCCGGGAGGCTTTAGCTCTTTGGGCTTGAACCAGCGACGCTGTGAACACTCGGGGGAAATCGAAATGAAAGTGAGAGGAATGTGGTTTAAATGGTCGTCTGGCTCAGGAAGGGGCTTGTGTATCGTGGTAACGATGCGTCCGACTTGGGAAAAACTCTGAGAAATGTGGTGGAACTTCAAATGATGAAGCCATCCTGTGTGTGCCCCATCGTGGAGTCCGCCAGGAGAATTGGCGCTGTCTTGAGTGGCAACAGTCATGGCAACTAGTGTCGACTTGCACAACTCCCAAACGCGAGCTGCTTCTCCTGTCCCCTATCTCAGGATCCGCCCAGGAGAGCAACAAAAAAAAGACTGGCAGACCGGTGGCAATAGGCTATTTCCATGGTCGAAAATATACTTTTTTTGCCCACACACATCATCCTCACAAGGGCAACAGGAGTTCTGCATTGAGGCTGTTGTCTTTCAGATGGATTCAAGACGGATGTATCGATATCCACATTCCACCATGTTTCCCACAGGGAGGTCGAGTCAATGGGCACAGTATGATTCATGGGTGGACTTGATATACCCCAGCAGGAATGCAAGACGACCTGATCTGGGAACCATGTCTGATCCAGATTGCCTTGCAGCCTCCATTGCCAGCACCCAGATTACAGAGGGAAACCCACAGGCATCATGGCACTGGATTGATGCAAGGCTTGGTGACCTTACATGGGTCATCAAACGTTCTCGACTTCCACTTGACTGGATCCAGCAAGACATCTTGAAGGACCCGATGTCTCAGGAGCTCACGAATTGGGTCACCGAGAGCTATGATATGTCGGATGCAAGATTCCAGATCAGCCTCATTGCTGCGTTCATCCTCACTGCATGGGCTCCCTTCCATCGGGTCAAAGACAATGAAGAGAAGATTCCAGCGGAACGGGCAAAGGGTGCAAACATGGTTGAATATGCCAACAGCCTTGTATGGGATCGTGAATATGGGAAGACTCAATCAGGGTGGAAAGCAAAGCCACCACTCTTCCACCTCTGGTTGATATACATTTGCGGTATTTTGGTGGAGGACAGTCCTTGGTGGCGGAGACACGAACAGAAGGCCCGAACTCAGTCCATCAAACTGGCCTCCCGTACTGCTGAGCAAGGAAAAAATGCAGAGGTGATGACCATGTTCAACACCAAGCTCCGTGAGTGCTTCCTGAAGCTATCTGTATCACAATTATGATGATAATATTATTATTATAGAGAGGAAAGGGGTCACCATTGCTGTCCTTGCCCGACTCCACCTGGTAGAGGCCTGCAAACCTAATGCATTCAAGCCTGGAAGTCGCTATCAGATGGACTGGAGGCGCCATCCGAAGGAGGTATTGGAGTCTAGGCTTGCGACCATTTCCAAGCACCTAGCCCAACCTCCACACATGTGCCCTGTGTTCTGTGCAGTGCGATATTTCTTGGGTGATGAGTGCCGTTCCCTTCACATTGTGGAGTCTTTCCGAGTACCACCCATGAAGGAGCGAGTGCCCTCCACTTCTTTGGCACACAAAGCTTCAGAGGCATCCCTCCATGCTGATTCTGAGTCATCAGAAGATGAAGCAGAGAATCCTGGGCTGAGTGCGCATCCTAGGAAACGTTGCCGGGTTCTGTAATATCGTCTTTTCATGCGCGCTTGGGAATACAACGTCCCTTAAATATACCAACACCATGATATAACATTGTATATTGACCCATCATCAAATCTTGCAGAAAATTATCATGTCGTCTTTTCACGCGCGCTTGGGAATACAACATCCCTCAAACATACCAACACCGTTATATAACAATTGTATATTGACCCATCATCAAATTTGGCAGAAAATTATCATGTCGTCTTTTCATGCGCGCTCAATAATACAACAACCCTCAAGTATATCAACACCATTACATATAACTCATTGTACATTGACCCATGATCAAATCTTGCACGCAATTATTATCATGTTGTCTTTTGATGTGTGATTGAGATACCATGTCACTCAAATGATTGCAAATCAAACATGGTGAAATCCAATGATACATGTTGTTTGGTTTGGCTTCTGTCGTTTCAATAGTTCAAAGTTGTGTACGATAGGGGGGATTTTGAGAGGGCCCCGAGGGTCCCCCCCAACCCGAACCAGTGGGTGTTTTTAACCTATAATGTATTCCTCGCGTTTTCCCCTCATCCCTATTTGGACTACTGCTTCTTCCTATTCTAGCCAGTTAGTCATCATCCCCACTTCCCCTCATCCTCCTGCCCCTCTGGGCCTCGCCCTCCCTACCTCCTTTCGGACGTATCACAGGTCTTGCCCTGTGACCTTCGGTACCGCTCCACTCCCTCTACCCTTTGTTCCCGTTCGGACGTCTTTGTTCCGATTCGGTCACCCTTTGTTCTCCTTGTGCTTTTGCCCCTTCCATTATATATATCGGCGCTTGTACATACTCGTTTTGGTTTTAGTCCGAAATCGACCTGAAATGCCCCCTAGAGACTTCCTGCTCACCTACTGTGAAATTAAGGACCAAATGGACAAACAGCAATGGCACAGCGCTCCGCTTGAGTCGCTGAGGCCAAGGTCCCTCCACGCTAAGTCTCCGATTCCACTCCGGAGTCATCCGTTTCCGCCCATTCTAACACGCATAGTCAAAGACTTCTCCTCTCTATCGCTCCCCCTTTTTCTCCCTTTCGCCCTCTATCCTGATACCCTACCATCCTTACTCGTTCTACCCCTTCCCCCCCCTTGTGCAAAGCTTTCCTCATTGGGGTTTTGGTGCTGGCCGAGGTTACTTGTGTTTCGCAGGATTCCCCATGACCTTACCATTTGTAGATAGTCACACGTCTTGTACGGAAACTGCCGAAGGCTGTTCCTGCTAACTAACAACTACTCTCTACAACTGTCTTGTGTGTCATCTTCTGTAACAACCCTTCCTGTGACTCAACTGAACCTGTGTGACTGTACAACTCACAACATGTCTTATAAGTCTGGTTATGTCGAGTCCTCTAACGGTCCTCGCCGTGAGAACTCGAGGTCGCAAGTCGAAGACTCTCAACATGTGTATCATCCTATGGAATCTGTACCCTACGGGACTTCATCACTCTGCTCTCCCCCCAACGCTCAACAGACGACATCACATCATGATCTTGGAGATCGTGAATACTCTGAGGTCCACTTTCCCATGATGCCGGCACATTCGCTATGCGAACACCAAGGGAACGCCAAGTCACCGAAGGCCCCATTAGTCAATCCTCATTGCACACTCATGATATCAACCCGCTACCGGTACGTTCACGCTGCGAATGCCAAGTACCCGATGGCAGTTATACGAAGTTCTCACCCACCTCACGAGTCGTGACCTCACACATGGTACACTCCATTGAGGAGCGCCAAGTATCCATGGCTGACCTGTCCGTCCTGATGTCTCCGACTACCTACCATCAATCCCTTAATAGCTCACTACATCACCAATCACAATCGATGGGAATTCGATCATCCACTCCCATGCAAGACTGGGATCATTCATCGATTACATATCCCGTTATGGTACAGACTAGATACGACATTCGTCATCCCACTATAAGAACGGATCAAGGAATGGGGATTTCCCCCCATCCCCGTAACAGTATCACTCTCCACCTGATTCAACCATGACTGGTTTATTGAGGGTTCAAGGCGACTTTTCCCACCATTGAGCCTCTGCATGAATGTTGGATAGGGACACTCCACAATTGGAAGCATGTTCCCAAGCACTGGCCGCTTTTTCACCCTTCTGCTTTGCGCATAGAATCTCAGTTCTGTATGAAGTCAGGGTTTTCTGCATGTGCAGCTCTGTTGCCTCAGCTGCAAGATGCCTACAGTGCTCTAAGGAGTCCGCATGCTGGGCCATTTGACAAAACAAGCAAGCAAGGCAATATCGGCTCCAGGAGAGGCAGGATTGGTGATTAACTTTTTGATTGTTCGGGTAACACGGATGAAAATTATGCTTCTGACTTAGGTTCCGTGTCTCATCAAAACAAACAAACCCTAACACAAATAACACTGGCCTTTTGCCCACTGCCTACATGGATGGCTGTTGGTGAGATGAAGACTGCAACATGAGGCTGGGGTGGTTAAGTTGCAAACATGGTGACTCTTCGCATTCAAGTGTCTCATGTTTCACCGATTTTTTCCTTTATTTCATCCCCGCTTGACACCAAATTTGGTACATGAGTAGTCCTAGCAACCACCTATATCCATGCCGAATCTCACCACATATGATAAAGAACTGAACAAGTTAGGTGATTGTTTCTCATTTGGGGGTGAATAACTGTAATCACTTTTATTGTCTTTGTCTTCAGAGATCAACTCTGAAGGGCCTCCACTTCCTTTTTTTGAGTTTCTCAATTGTATTTCTTGTGTGAGGAAAAGTTATGAATTTGATTATGTAACTCTTACAACAACCATGGCTTGATGAAAATGAGTGGGCAGTGCAGAGTTCAGCGAAGCGCGAAGTGCAAGCACTCTAGTCTCTGGTCAGAGGGACTAAACCTATTTTGCACACATCAAAATTTTCGATTCAAATGTATTTGCAAATGTATATTATCATTGAAAATAAATTAAAAACCTCCACTATGCCAATAGTTAGCCTTGTTTCCTTGCTTGTTTGTTGTTGCGGGATTCTTGATGGGCACTGCATGTCCAGTTTGGGGGAATGTAGGACCCTAGACCCTGACATGACCTATGGAACTAATTTGTCTGTCAGAAAACAACAACAGTATTAAGGTACAGTAAAAGGCATATACCCAAACCGTCTCACAGCCCATCCCATTACACCTAACAACATTAGTGGCATTGTCAATTTCACTTGCGGTAACTTTCATGGTACAACACATATGAATGCCAGTAGGACGTTTGGGAGCATGGCACATTGGACGGCCACTGGAATAGGTGGTTGGCAAAGCTGAGGCTGGGGAGGGTGGATGGGGGCTAGGAGAGGTGGGAATATGTCAGGGCAATAGCCCTGAACCCCGAGTCACATGTAAATTAGATACACATAGTCACGTGGGCAAGCGGGAACCTCCAGGTAACCGCTTACACACCACCGTAAAATACACTATCTTGTATCACTTACGGCCTTGTGTGCTGAGCAACCCTAAGACCTCACACTTTTTTAAGTGCATGAGGTGTGTTTTACAACACAACCCACAACTACACAATCTTAACATCTGACTCGGAAGCGCCTATGGTGCCTAAACATGCCCGCAAGGGCAAGGTCGCATCTGCAGCGACACTAAAAAGAAACAAGCGGTTTATAAAGAAACTGCAATCTCCCATCAAGGGAGATTCAAACCAAAAGCCGTCGTCAGATGACGATGAGGATCAACATGATCCAGCAATAGCAACCACCTCAGGGCTGGTCCCTGAAGGCTTTAGAAACTTATGTGGAGTAAGTGCGGGGCCAAATACCCCCAGAACTCCACAACATACCGATCTAACCCAAGCTGGGGAAGATCCATCACCTCCTCACAAGGTGATCGACTTGCGCGAAAAACGTGTAAGCGCCGAACGATCAGCCCAAAAAGCTGATCGGATAGAGTCGCAGGAAACTCCAGGGCCCCACTATCCCCTGGAGTCCCCCCTCACGTCCCCAAGTCAAGCCCCAAAGGCAGACAAAGGGAAACAAAGGGAAGAGCCCCCACGATGGCTATCCGAAAAACTACTGGACTTGTTCCAGGTTCCGTCTGAATGGAGGATGGAAAGTGAAGATCAACTTCTTCTCAGGCTGAAAGCCCGAGAAGGCGCAAAAATACGCCCTGAGAGCAGGATCTCCCAGAGCATGGAAGCTCCAAAAGAACTTCCGCTGTTTACACTCCCACACACCATGCCAGACAAGGCAAGGTTGCCAACTTCGGAGGAGGTCTCCGAGATAATGAAGAGGAGGCGAACTGAAATGAGGGAGTTCGCAGAGGAAGCCTTACGTAAAAGTAAGGAGAAACCAGCGAACAGACCCCTCTATGAAAGGGAAGCACCCTCCGCAACGGCCTCACCTAAACAAAGCGAGCGTGGAGTGTTCACTCCAAGAACCCATTCTGGAACCCCCAGAAGCGGAAATGTCAACTGGGGAGAGTCGCTGCTCGCCCAACCAAACTTCCTCCTGGAAAACCAGGAATCGTGCATAATAAACGCGATAAACTCGATCCAAAAAAAGATCGAGGAAACGAACCATAATAGCACAGCTCGTCTAGAGATAACTCTAGAAAGAATGGCCAACGCAATCGACGCGTTGACTGAAAAAATCAGCGAACAAACAGATTTGCTGAAGGAAATAAATTTCTCACAAAAAAGTGAGGAAACAAATAAACACCCCTGGACCACGGTCCAGGACATAAATAGAACTCGTGAAAAATTCACGAAAAGAACTACCAGTGAAAGCACACTGGAATATCATCAGCGACTCGACAGAGACGCTAAGGAGATCCTTCTCCCAAGGATAGGAGAAGACGATGCCGAAAGAAGGCATCGTTCAGAAATTAGAAGGAGAATTGGCACGTACCAAAGGTTCGGCCAAACGTCCACTTATGACAGACCTCTCGAACAGAGAGGCAACTCATTCACACCCTCTCAAAACAATGAGAGAATACAAATACAACTTCAGGCGA